TTGCCAAAGTTAGTAGAGCAGCCACAGTTTATATCTTGGAATTACTTTATCTTTAAACAGTCTTTGCCTCTTAGATGAAGCATAATTTTGATTAATTTTAAAGAAAGAAAAAAAAAATGGTCTAAATTAATAAAACTCGGAGATTTGGCCTAATTGCAAAGGCATCCTCCTAGTCTGGATGCTGTAGATTATACTTTGCTATAACATGCTTCTTGCAGGTGATTCTCTGGGGAACTCTATCACTGTGTAAGGCACTCATGTTATATGCATTAGGTTGAGTGATTTGAGGAACTCTGCAAATGTGCTATAAGAAGAGCTGAGCTATTACTGGGAGACAGTACATCCTAAATGGGTGAAAAAAGACTTTTTTTTTAGTTCTTTATCCATATTTTCATACTTCTCTGAAATTGTGAGCTGCCTTATGCAGAGCAACTGCTATGACACTGGAAATAAGAGGGAAGCATTGTTCCCAAAACATATTAAAATTGTTATCATTATTTTAAAAACAACAACAAATAAATTCACTGTCTTGCAAAATCAAAGGCCAGCTGGGTTATAATACATACATTGTGATTGTTATCAATTTCTATGAACTTTCAGTCAGGAACAGTGAAAATTACAAAACTGTTAAAAAAGGAATATCTTGTATCTCTAGATTTGTGAATATTTGTACATGAGCAGCACTGATTTATACTGAGAATTTCAGTCCAGGTCCTCTTGTCAATCAGTAATGACTTTCTTATCACAGAGAGCCAGAAGAATCCTTGTTAATACTCTCAGATTTCAGTAGTGCCTGGTAGGCTGGGTCACAGAGCACTAGTGTTTGCTCTGTGTGGTTCTTCTGTCAGGTTGTCTGTTCTAGACTAACTCTAATCAGAGCAGACTGAAAATGCCAAAAGGTATTGGGGTGCTCCCATGAGGTCCCACTCTGGTTACAGACAGTAATTCACCTTTTTTCACTTTTTTTTTTTTTTTTTTTTTTGTTTGTTTGTTTGCTAGTAATTTAGGTTAAGGCTCTCTTGCAAAAAAATAAAAAATAAAAAAAAATTGGCCCCTGGTGCTACTGATAATATACAGCAACTTTCCTCTCAATAGTTTTGCAGTAGGAGCAGGAGTGACATGTTGCAGAGCCATCACTTGTGTTGTCAAAGTCTAGGTCACTCAGAACTGACTGATCTGGTCATAGAAAGGCTGGGTAATGACTACAGGAGGACTTATTTTCTGTAAGGCTTGAAATAGGGCAGTAACAATGTCAATATACATAATGACTACATAAAATATAAAGAGAAATAATTTATTTTTGCATGTTGTAGTTTATTCAGAAGCCTATTTATATTGCACAAACTGCAGCATTTGTTGATGTTGTAAGGGATTTTACAAGAGATTGTTGGCCGTTTATCAGTGCTTCAGCATTCTGTGCTTTGAAGTCTGGGTGCTCACCTCCAGCACATATCTGCACAGTACAAAGTCCATCACCCAGTGCACGGGCATTTGTTTTGTAGGAGATGTCATTGCAGAGGATTTGTGGAAAAATACTGATGATTTTAAAAATTCAGTATTTGCTCAGTAGGCATTGTGACCAGACTGGGGTCTACAACCTCAGAATGACTGTTTGGCCCTCACTTTCCATGCTCATATGTTCACTGGATGCTCGCTTGCTCAAGAAAAAAAAACAGACTGTGACATCATGGTTTGCTGAGCTGCTTGAACGTTTGACTGATATATACAACTTATACAAAATATAGTAACTATCATAATTTTATAGTCTGAATAGGGAAGATTCTGCTCATCTACTGCTGGGTGCATGTTTTTAGCTACCAGTAGAATTATGCATCATTTCATTTTTCTTCTGGAATTAAATGCTTTAATAGCAGTTTAATTCTTCATATTTACAGTCATGGTTCTTGAGTCTAAGGAACAGAGATTTACACTTAGATGTGGGAGATCTCAGTTGTGTTTTGCCTTTGACATAGAATTTGTGAAAGCAACCTCTTGTCTCTCTGTTTCTTCTTTCCTCTCAATTTTGTCTTCCTATTTACCTGTGACATGGTCCTATTTTTACATTTTGCAGTTGCCATTTCTGACTGAAAGGCAATTTTTTTTTTTTTTCGGTTGTCTGAAATTGGTGAGAGCAGGCACAGCACAGGTCAGAGGCTTGGTGGCAGGAAGGACTCACCTCTTGACACCAGGCTTGTACTGCACTTGTACAGTGCAGAGTTTAATGGAACTCTGGGCCTGACTGCTCTTGCCTCCTAGGCACCAATGTAACATAAATAACAATCGCAGTATCTTTTCCTCGGAGAGCTTAAAATTGTGTTGCTCTAACACTGTTTGCAGAAGCTGACAAAGCCGTCTGTGTCTTTGTTCTCGTGGCTGTGGTGTGTTGGATGAGATTTTCTCCTGAGATTTGAAAAGGCACTCCAAAAGTTAGATTCATGGGATTATTTTAATCATAATGCAGCATTCAAGGCACACTGAGTGTATTTATTATTTTGAATAATGTTTAATGATTTCTGTTTTCCTCTTATGCATACTTATCTTTAAAATAGACTTTGCTCTATAATTAAAGCAGCTAGGATGCTCCTGCAGACAGGTGCTATATAAATAAGAAGTATTAATATTTTAATAAGATGCAGCAGGACAGCAATTAGAAAAGCCCATATGTTTCTATTTTCTTTATAATCTTTGATATTGCTAGGATTTAATCCTTGGGGAGAAAGGTGAAATGGAAAAAAAATTTCATGTGGGAGAAATTGATTCTCTCTCCTCGGTTCCCACTAAAGAAATTTTTTCCACAAGAGAAATAGATGCTATATGTTATGTTTTAGAATTATGTTCACTCTTTCCCTCCCTTTCTGTTGTAACATTGAGGAAATGATAATGAGCTACAATTAAATGTTTGGTTGATAGCAGAAGCCAGAGGACACTGTCTGGCTGCATTTTGGGATGCCAGTGCAGCCATTCGAAAAAAAATCCAGCCAGCTGTGCCCAAAATGTTTGTCATGTGTGTACAAGCAGAAGAATTTGCACTATAATCTGCATTAGACAACAAAGCCAGACATTTCTGAAGGGTCAGAAACCTGCAAGATGATGATACTCTTTTGCTTATTTATTAATGCTGCAAACATCTGTATTTCTGGAAGTGAACTAGTCTTGAAAGATATAAAATAATAAATGAAAAGGGGAAAAAAGTATTAAAAAGGGACTACTCCCAGTTGTGAATGCCAACAGAAAAGCTAGAATCTCTTGAAAAATGTATTTCTTTTGTGATTTCCTGTTACAACCAGGAAGTTGTGGTGATACAAGACTGAGGGAAGCAGTGTGCTTCAGCAGGAACACAAGCATAGGACCTGGGTGGTCCTGGGACTGAATACCAGCTGTTCTGTGCCTGGCAAAGCTGGCACACTTTCAGCCAGCCCCTGAGCTCCCTTTACTGCCCCTTTGTGTTTTTGGACACGATTGTTTCTGAGCGTGTACTTTCAGGTGCTTATTTGAAAGTCACCAGTTTAGTCTGATGTCCCTAAGCTTGATCAGAGTTCAAGTAATTACTCTTTGAAGTTTGATTATGGTTAACTGTAACTATGAAGATGTCTTTCTCTGGAGACATCCTATTCTTCCTGTTTTAAGTTTCTGACTTTGTCTGGAGTAATGGCATGCTGAAAATGTTTCTCAGCACTAGGGCCTGTTTTCCTCAGCCAAACTCACCTTAGCATCAGAGAAAACTGGTAGAAAATACAAGATCCCACAGATGTATGTCATATGGCTGGGACCTAGGTGAGTTCTCAGTAAAATGTACCTTTCATGGGGAGTAGAATTCAGCATTTGAGTAGCACAGCTATTCTGAAGATTTGTTTGTAAAAGTATAGTACTTTTACAGTTCATAAAGTCGTTATTTTAATTACAATGTTTGATTTGTTTTCCTCAACTTTGAAAAATACAGAGAAATTGAATTTTTCTTATTGTGAGAGTTAAAATTGTCATTGTTTTTTTCCTCCAACCTCACACATCAGTTATGGTAATCTTAGATTAACAGAAAAGCAGATAGTGAGAGGCTCAGCTGTTGAGATAGGCATATGGATGGGACAAACACGATAAACAAGGAGTAACGAAGTAGGAGGTGAGAGAGAGTGATTAAAGGTTGATGGGATTAGGATGTAAATACAATAGTAAGTATAGGGTAGATTAACTAGGGAACAGGAGGAATTCTTGGTGTCAGTGGATAGGAGATATAAAGCTGCGATGTGTTTTTGGTTGTGTGATCCTGCTTGCTGGACATCTGTGATTGCAATATCACAAGTTAAAACTTTTTCACAAGAGATTTGGTCTCCAAAAAAATCATTTATTTCTCACATTATCACTGTTATAAAATATTCTACCAATATAATTTCTTTTAGATCAGAATCTTTGCAACTAATTGCTCTTATTATAATGTTATCTACTTATTTGCTTTTAAAACAAGTAATAATATAGGTTTAATTTCCCTTTTGCTGACTGAACAAGCTTTATCTTTACCTCACCCACTGACCTTTTTATAGCACTGTGATGTCTCGTTGGCCAGAGGGGCATCCAAGCTCAGAACAAAAAATGGTCCTGACCTTGTGTATGCTTTTGAGGTTTAAACTACAGCAAGCAGGAGTGCTAGATGGGAAATGAAAGCAGGGATATTAATTAACCTGGTAGGAAGCAGCCTCAGCACAGCAGAAAGTTAAATGTGTTTATGTTGTATAGGCCCTAAGAAAGCCAGTGCTCTAAAGTTTGGAAAGTAAGAATAAAGCAGGCCACACGTCTTTCTGAGATTCTGAAAGGATCCTACAATTTATCTATCTGTCTGTCCACATAATTTAATATTATTTTTAAACTGAAAAAAAACAGTTTTGCTTACCTTTATTAAAATAAATAAATAAATAAAAAGTCGTGCTATTTTGTAGCAACTTTCCCCTATCAGCCTTTTTCCTGCATCATTTCAGTTGTAATAGCTTTTTTTTTTTTTTATTTCCCAGGTGCCACATGGTGGTGCTCCTGACTCCACGTTGTTCAAAGGCCTGCACTGGCTGGAGGGAGTTTAAGCAGCAAGCCTACCAGAACTGGCTTTGGAAGAAGGGCAAAGAAGGTAAACCATCCAGTGGAATGAGGAATATATTTTTCTAACTCAATTGATCTATTAAGTCAGAAAGAATCATAGAATTGAAGGGACCTCAAGAGATCATTGAGTCCAGACTCCCCTGATAAAAGCAAGTACAAAAAATTATGTAACGGTAGCTTATAAAAATCCTGAGTTTTTATTTTTGTGTTTATTGTTCCATTCCCTTTTCTCTATTTTCTTCTGTCAGTAGAAGATTCATCAAGGTTCATATTTCAGCATCCTCTGGAAAACAGGGACAGATACCTTTCTCTGGGTCAGTCATGAATGTGAAAAGAAGCAAAGCAGAGAGGAGATGCATCTTCTCCACGTAAGGGGGGACCACATATAATTAGAACAGCCATGGTGGACCCAGGCAGGGGCTCTATTCTTGGGGGCAGCCAGCAGTGGCAGTGGCCTAATGTCAGTTGAAGTATCCCTTTTTCTTGTGAGTAAAACTTCATGTTCATCTTTATCAAGGCTATGGCTCATTGAAATCAGCAAGAATGATTTAATTGATTTTTGTGTCTAATCCTGTGAACTGTAGCATTCTGTTAGTCAGTGTTTAGCCTTATTCATTTAGGAGTTCTGTTCATCTCTCACTGAGAATTTCTGAAAACCTTACTGAAAAAATGGATTGGGCACTTAGCTATTTATGAGAATCTTGCTTTTAAATTGTGAGAAGATATCTTTTTAATTAATCCTTGCAGAAAACAATTGAATGCTTGACCTACAAGGATAATTACTTGTGTTCTGCTTTGATTATTTTGTAAAAGTTTTATCGGATTTATACAATGTACTGCATAATGTATGATCTAAAAGTGGAGCTCTATATGACTGTATAAAGTGGAACTTTATACTACAGTATAAACTTTCTAGAGAATTGACAACCATGTTGTCTATATAAACACATCATTCTGTAATTAGTCTTAGTATAATTTTTTTTAGAAATTATCTTTGCTGTCATTCTGTGTTTTGTATATTTCTTCATACATAGAAATTTTCATTAAACCATAAACTGACTATTGCAGAAATTGTCTAAGGCTTCAAAACTACTTTGAAATGTTGTTTAATTTATGGAAAAAAATCTAATGGCATTGTTTGATAGAATCCTCTGAATCTGAGGAAGTGTGATTAGTTTCTGACTCATTACTCTTTCCACTGTAGTTTTTTATCCATAATGTGTAGCCTTTGTCAAGAGCTAATGATAAACAGAATTCTTTATGATTATTTAACATAGCAGTGATTATTTAAAAATGAGTGACTGAAGGTTATGGATGAATGAAAACACAGAAATGCCCTCAGATCACCAGGAAACAACTCTCTACATTATATAAATGGTACTGAAAGAGAAGTCAGTGGTCAGACTTTAGCAGGGTTAAATGCCTGCCAATTTTGTACTTCAAGTGCAACATAACTGATTTCAGCATTTGTGTTTGATATGTTTTTAACTAATATGTAAAAAAAAAACCAGTTTGGTATTTTGAGTGAGTTCACTATGGAAAGAAAGAAATATTCAGGGTTTTATTTGGAATGGATGGTACCTTGTATGAGAGAATTATAGGGAAAAAAAAAAGAAGCTTTACCTAAATTAAGTCTAGCTGTGCAACGAGATGTTAACTATAGGACATGGATGACAGCTTGTTCTCTTATAAGCTGGAAAACTACACTGGTGATTAGTCTTAATTTTTAGCTTTATAAACTGCAAGATTCATTTCAAAAATGCTAACGTTAAAATCAATTATTAGGAAGATATTAAGACATTATTTATTTGCATCTTTCTCCAAACACAAGTGCAAGCTGATTGCATCAAAGCACAGCCAGCCCCATTTTGCTATTGATTATTTTTTTGCTGAAATTGTTCCCACTGGAAGAAAGCCTGAGCAGAATTTTTTCTGAGATTGAATGATATGGAAATATTCAGACTAACCAACAAACCTCTCTATTATCTTTATTAAATAATCATATTAATTTCAAAACAAAATAAGATCTCCACTCAAATCCTAGTAAATATATTAAAGCATAAAAGTTTGTCCCAAGAAACGTCATTAAATGTACATATTTGTCCTGTATGTTGCATTAGTAGAGGTTTGAAGGTGTCTAAACTCGGTGGTTTTGAGGAAGTGAATCTTTTTCTGCCTTCTAAGTTGCGCCCACCCTGGTCAACAGGGGTCACTACCACAATGGAATTAGGCAAGACTCAGAGTAATAAGACAAATTATTGAGAGATTTCTGACAACAAATATTCAGAGGTGAAACTGGCTAATTTGCTTATAACGACTAATAAGTGTTACAGGCAAGAGTACTTAAGTGAGGGAGTTATTTCTATGCTAAAATTTCTAAGACAATGTTAGGCAACAGCTACCACAAAGGGTGAAAAGGTAGAAGATAAAGAGAAAAGGTAGCAAACAGGGAGATAGACAGACATACAGACATACAAATAGCAAAGCAAACCAGTTCACTACTGCTCCATCCAGCAAAGTCTTAGTGTCAGGGGTTCTGGTCTTTGACTGTGGTAGGTTGCCCAGGTGGTGAAGGTTAGTTAATGTCTACAAGGAACATTTACATATTCACATTTTCTTACTTCTATTCCAGAGTGGTCAAGCCTGCTCTTTGGAGTGACGGCTTCTGTATTCTGGCTCTCTCTTTTGTTCCTGTCTTCCAGGCCTTCCAAATTTAAATCAGCAGAGATAAGAGGAGGCAGGGAGAGCCTGCTTGTATCTTGCCTTCTCAAGATACAATGGTATCATCTCCTAATTTCTTTAACTCCGTGTATCACGCTGTTTTCATTTGTTCCCAGGCCAAGTCTTGTGCCAGAAAACGTTCCTGGTCCTCCCCATTCAAGCATTTCCAAATAAATGCTTTTGAATGTAAAATTGTCCACAAAATGTTGTTGACTGTCTCATTTTAATTTGAGACTATGCGTTCCTTACCAGACTCAGACAAGAGGATTTTTCTTTGTTTCTTTCCTCTGAATGGGGATTTAAAAAGTAATGTTTTACTGATCCCAAATCAGCTGACAGTGTAGAGGATCAAAATATAAAAATATGCAAATAATAAATTAGTCCCTAAAAAATTATTTCTGAAAGTCATTAAGAATGCATACCTATGTAATAGCAGTGAGAGTTTATGGAAACATATAAACATACCTGTGTCCTGATACAATCAGGCTTGTTTTTGTTATTTGCTCACAGATGACATCCAATGCCATTTTAAAGTCTCAGTATAAATTCTTACCTGGATCTTTAATGTCTTCTCCTCTTCAACAAGAATTGTATCTTTATGCATACAAGAGAGGAATCCTTAGAAGGTCAAACACCTACATTTGCACTTTTCTAGCCTAGCAGGGTGTATCCATGGCTCATCCTGAAGAACAGATATTGGACTGCTGTCATTTTATTTTCACCTCCTGCTGTCAAGAAAGGTTTTATTATTCTGTAAGGAGGCTGTGCCTCCAGCTCTCAGATATCTTAAAGCTTCAGTTGCTGAGGGAGTGTTACTCACAGTCATATTGCTTTTCTGTTGTGAAGATCTGCATTACTGTTTGGTGGTGTGAAAACAAAACTTCAAGTTTTATCTCCCATTAATGAAGTTGAAATGAATTAATATAAAGCAAAGGGAGGGAGCCAGGATATGCCAATATTAATTCTTTCTTTATTGCTTCTGGGATTGGAACAAATGAAAATGTCCGTTATCATCAATTTGTTTTCATTCCCTTACTTTCCCCAGTGACAATTATTTTTGAATCAAATAATCTTTTGACATTGAAACTGTCTATACTTAATACAAAAATAAATGAAGAACTGATCAGATTTAGGACTTTATAAGCCTAATGGTTCTTATTTTTCCAGATAAAATTTCAAGTCATTCAATTAACAGTAGAAGGTTGGTCAGGAGTGCTGCGTTAGTGTCAGTGATTACCATTCCTGATTTAAAAAAAAAAAAAATACTAATTTCTACAGGTTTAATAGTAAATATTTGTCATCATTTAATATTCATAGCAGCTTAAATGAATGCTTGAAATAAACTGAGATTTAATGATAAGACATAAGTTAGTCTTTGGCTGATTCTGTAAGGACTTCCTCAGAGATTATTCTGTTGTTTTTGTTGCGTTGGGTTGTTTGTTGTTTTTTTCTTTTTTTTTTTTTTTTTTTTTTTGCTTGCTTGTTTGTTTGTATTGTCTTTGGTACAAACCTGAAACCATGTCCAGATCTTTTTCCTCTGCAAGTTCAACCATGGCCTCAAGTCCTCCTTTGAGAGAAACCTTCACTATCACATTGTGACAAGCTGGTCTGTCCAAAAAAAACTTCAGTCTGCTGGGAGGAAAAAAGTGTTTTTTGTGGTGCTGCTTTTTTGAAGTGGCTGCAGTATAGAGTCTGGCTTCTTTAGTAACACAAAACATATTCCATCAAGCAAAGTCTTAATTAACATCTGACAGAAAGTCTTGTTGTTTGTCAGACAGTGCACATTTCAGTTTCATTGCAATCCTGATGTTTTCAAGTAACTGAGCTTTGAAGATTTTACTGTACCCAGTTTAAGTGAAGTGAATTTGCTGCAGTTCATGTAGGAGGCTAGGTTTGTACTTTGTAAAGCTGTTTCAGTTTAGGTTTGGCTTTGCAAGAAGATGAATAGGATCTTGTCTTTATTGTATTAAAATCCCAGAGCTTCAGAGAAGAATAAGAGGAGGAAGGAAAATCAAATGTAAGTGTTCAGCTTTTGACTAAGTTATAGCTTTTATAAAATTGAATTTTGATAATTTGCTATGGAAAGATTAAAAGTAACATTATTCTTTGAGAATTATTTGAGAGCAAAAAGTGTGTTTTGGAAAAATTTTTAATCTCCTTGCATCTCTCCCTCCCCTGGTAATACTCCAACCTTTAAGCCTTTTAGTTGGCATCTATATGTCAAAAATTGATATTTTACTCATTCTTACCGTGTTTAGATCCAGTGTCAATGTTTGAATTTCTCAGCATGACACCTGGTGCGATTCCCATCTACTATGTTAACTCTGTCTTTGTTGATGTCCCAGGAACACCATTATAGTTTTTGGCTTTGTCAGTAAATTATTGTTGCATGCTGTACCCCTCCATACAGCAGCTCTCTTCCACATCTTTGCAAAGAAAGAGAAATAAGAGAAGAAATGAAAAGCATTTGAGGTGAATGCCTTGGGAGAATGATAAATTTAGATCAGAGTAACTAGCTTTTAAGTGAATTCAAGAGACAAAATAAGTGTTTATTCTAGTGGTATCTTTCTGGCAGGAACATATGTTCTACTAGTTTATGCAAACACACCTTCAACATATTTTGATTGAAGCT